ACTAACTTGGATGTGGCTCTCAACGCATTAACTGATGGAATCCCAAGTTCAATAATCTGGTAGGTGGAATCCCAGTTGCCACTCGAGTCACTCAACATGTATGAGAAGATATTCCAAGGTGAATTACAGAAAGCATTGCCAATTCGCCTAATTTATATGAGTTAAGCATTGCCACTCAGAACCAGTTAACCGGTGAATTCCCCCCAAATCTTGGAAAAAAAACTCGCATTTATGATGGATTGATGTTTCATCAAACGGGTTTTCAGGTGAATTGCCTGAGAATCCGTGTTCAAATGGTGTTCTTAAAGAGATTTTAATGATTGAAAATTCATTTTCCGAATAAATTTCGACGGCTCTAACAGAATGTCATAGCTTATTGCGTGTAAAGTTTGGGTACAACAGACTTTCCGACGAAGTTCCTGTTGGTTTTTTGGGTCTTCCTCACGATGGGTGTGGGGTGGGGTGGGGTGGGTTTTTAATTTTAATTATTTGATTTTAGTTATTTTATTATTAATGTAAAATTACCATTAAAATCAGTCAAAATTATTGTCAAAATTAATTATTTGGTCAACTAACGGTCAAACTAAAAGTAACCATCCATTTGGATTTCAACTGTGGTATTTTTGAAAGGTTTGGTACCGTGGGTGACACAAATGAAAGGTTGGTACCATGAATGTCACAAATGAAAAGTTTGGACAAAAACTGTACTAAATGAAATGTTTGTCAATTATCTCTTATTTATAATTGGCATTTACTCCACACATGCTGTCTAGTATACAATAATTAATTATAATAGTACAACATCACACAGTAACATTTTCTCTTAAATGGGCAGGGAATTAAGTGCAAATAGAAATTAAAGGGGGTATTTGATTTTAAAGTGGTACATTAGACCAATACCGTACACCAAACACACACGTGAATTTGTATTGCGGGATATGAGGTTTTCGAGAAATTAATTAACAATCATGCTATATGTACACTTTTGACATTTTACCACTTGGTAATATATCATTTGATAGCTTAAAGAAATAAACAATTTTACCTCCAATCCTTTTAGATTATGCTACATGTATCCTATATATTACACTTTTGTTTACTCGAGCCCACCCCCTCCATCACATGGAGGTCGGGTCTCACGCATTTATTGGACGTGGGACCCGATCCTCTTGTGGGATCGGATAAATAAGAGTGTAATCCATAGGGTACAAATAACATAATTCTATCCTTTTTTAACAACACATCAAATGTCAAAGTAAATGTACACTTAAAGTGTACATCTAACATTTCTTTTATTAACTAATGTCGAGACTCTCGATTTTACTTTGTCCACCGGTGTGGACTGGAAGACTTCCCTAGAATGGTGAAATGTTCTCAAGCAATATTTTCTATTAGTTTTTGATAGAAATTCCAAGTCGTCTGTTAGTATATTTCTGCACTCTTAATTTCTAGATTCAATAATCTATTTTACATTCAATATAATGCTAGTTTGTGCTGCAAAATTAACAATGTCGGCACACATTTGTTTTTGATCAAGACACGACAAGCGATGATAATTTTATTTATGCTGAGGGGACATAAACCCGACATTGACACCTGAAAAAGAATCTAAAAGCTTAAGAAGTCGAAATGCACATATAGCATGCAATCATCAAGTCCTTAACTCAGATTTTTTGTAAATTATGATAAAAATTAAGTGGTTGAAAGTTGTGGATCCTATGAAATATGTGATTAACATTAATTATCGAGTTTGATTTAGATTAAAATCTATATTTTAATCCTCTACCAAATAGGGGCTAAATCTATTAGTGAGAATATACCGATTCATCTTTTTGAGCAAATTCTTGATACATGCACAATTTTAATATAACAACACGATTTGAACTTTGGTCTTTTACCTACTTTTATACGAGATTTCAATGTTAAATCATTTTATCTAAAAATTTAAATTATTAGAGATCGGCTGTATGCTAATTTAAATAGTTTACAGAAAGGACACGCTTGAAAATAAGCCCATGTTTGACAATCATTATTCAGTAAAATTGATGTTTTGAATATGATTTTTTGGAGAAAGTGTGGTCAAAAAGTAGGGAAATATATTGAATTTACGTGTTGGACATTTTATTGTGTAAATATTTGATTAAAAATAAGTACGTAAAAAAAAAATTCAAATAATGGTTGTAAACGGGCTAAACATAGAGGGAGGTTGGTGGTGGTTAGGCTTGAGGCTACTATATGAGCAAAGAATTCATTTCTTCCACATTTATTCTTCTACCTAATTTAGGAAACGTACAAGACCATTGAAGGAGGATGAATTGAGACATTGTCCTCAGATATGTGACAGTCCATTCACAATAATAGTCCTCTCACATGGGGTGGAGCCCGCGACAAGCATTCAATATTCGCAATTAAAGTTTCAATTGGAGTAATCTAGTGCTCTTGATCTCCTTAGTCTTGTTCTGGGATTTGTGTACATTTTTTGGCAGGTGAGAACTTTAAAGCCTGTATGGAATCAATATTCATGTCAGCCTTCTTACTTAAATTTGGTTAATCCAAAATAACTCAAGAAATTTGTCGTGATATGTATTTTTGAAGATGTTTCCTTTCTTTTTTTTTTTTTTTACAAAAAAATGAGTTTCGTAATATTGACTTTTTTTGAAAATGTGTGAATAAAATGTAAGGAAAAACATTTTGGATTTTCGTGCAAAATTTTATTTAGAGAACATGTCGTTAAAAATGAATTTAGAAAAATAATAATTTTTTGAATAATGGAGATCAAACGGGGGCACCTACTTGCGCTACGACAAATTAAGCTCTTGTTTGGGCTCCATTTTAATTAAAATTTGAGGAAAAATGTATTTTAGAATAGTGAAAAAGTTAATTTTATTTTTGAATTTACGTGTAATATTATTTTATGAAAGAATATATGATTGAAAATGAATTTTGAAAAAATGGTGACAAACATGGCTAAGTTTTCTTAATATATTTGGAATGACCACGTGAAGCTGTGGCATCGAAATGAACTTTCACGAGTTTTTGGATTTAGTGAGACAGTTTCATCAATATTTTTGTACATGTCCACAATTTCTTGACAGTGACTTTTGATTATCAAAGGAAAGATAATATACGCCATGTCTTACACCCCCCGTCCCCACCCCCCACACAAATAAATTTTTTCATTTTTCATTTTTTTTTATCAATCATATATTCTATAAATAAAATGATATGTTGATATTACATATAAATCAAAAAATTCTCCTTACCATTTAATCTAATATTCTCCAAAAATCACTATTCCAAAATCAATATTTTTAAGTAATGGAGCTCAAACAAGGGTATAATTAAGACATGTTATAAACAGTGTGTCAAGAATAATATCGAAATATTTCCAAGTTGAAAACTAAATCAATCAAACACATTTAATTATAACTTCCATACAAATAGGTTCTAGTTGATTGATTTATCTAGAATTTATTTTCTTTCCATACAAATTTTATATTCGCAATCAAACGCAACCTAAAAGTTTCTTAAACAGAAAGTAAAACCTACAATAAATTGCTCATTCATATATACGTTAATTATTAGTTAATTTCCCAGTAATATTGCCTCATTATTACCAATTTTAGCTAGTAATTACAGCTTGAAAATTAAAGAAAATGAGTTTAGATTCATTTTTAATTTATTAAACTGCCACATTTAAAAATAAAAAACTTTAAAAAGAAAGAACTTATTTATATTCTAACCCCCTTCACAAATCATTCACATTATTTTTATGCCAAGGCCTACAATATGGAAAATATCATATTGATTCACTATATCTAAAATTTTAAGTGGTTAGAAATGTTTTCCCTTCTGTCACTACGTCACTTGCCGTTTTAAAAGTTTTATAATATTTTCCATCCATCATTTTGTCTATCATGTAATTCAGTCTCTCAACTTTTAAAATGCCGAATGACAGAGTAAAGGACGGAATAGGATTTTGGTAAGTTTAATGAGATATTGGAAAACTTTTTAAAGTCCAATGACTACTTGGAACGCATTTGGAAAAAGTTGAGTGACGATTCGAAAACTCTTGAAGTTCAATAGAAATTGGGCAACATTTAGGAGAGTTTAGTGGCAATTGATATANTTTTTTTATCAATCATATATTCTATAAATAAAATGATATGTTGATATTACATATAAACCAAAAAATTCTCCTTACCATTTAATCTAATATTCTCCAAAAATCACTATTCCAAAATCAATTTTTTTAAGTAATGAAGCTCAAACAAGGATATAATTTTAACCAATCTTGCGTGAGATTTGTAAACTGAGTTAGGCTTAGATAGCCCGCCTGTATAGACAAGTCTCGACTTAGTTTACACCTCCACTTGAAAGCAAGTGAAGAAAGACGGAAAGTAAGCAACTTATTTTAACTGTTAGAATTTTAAATTATTAATATTGGCACGTGACAATCCTTGAGAGTTGAAGTTTATTTTCACCACGGGGTCACTTAAAAGAGTGCATTTAATTGTCAATATTCTTCATGAAAATGTGTTTTTTACTCAAAATGTTTTCCCTTCTGTCACTACGTCACTTGCCGTTTTAAAAGTTTTATAATATTTTCCATCCATCATTTTGTCTATCATGTAATTCAGTCTCTCAACTTTTAAAATGCCGAATGATAGAGTAACGGACGGAATAATATTTTGGTAAGTTTAATGAGATATTGGAAAACTTTTTAAAGTCCAATGACTACTTGGAAAGCATTTGGAAAAAGTTGAGTGACGATTCGAAAACTCTTGAAGTTCAATAGAAATTGGGCAACATTTAGGAGAGTTTAGTGGCAATTGATATATTTAACCCTTAAAAATCAAGAAATCTTTATTTAAAATTTTCTATTGGACTTTATATTTTTGGATGTTCAGATGCTATATATATGCTACATCCAATCGATGCCAATCCTTTTGTAGTCCATGTGTGGGGTACAAGATACTACACAAAACTTCTCCAGAATTATGCTATCTCCAACTACTACGTTACTTCCCAGGTTCTTACAACAGGAAGAAATTCTGACACAAGAATGTAAAACCTTAATCTCCACTTTACCCAAAGAAAATGGATGGGTTGCCTCTCATCTCTACAAATATCAAGGTTTTTGGAATACACCAAGGCACCTTCAAGGAATCATGACCTGTCAAGAACATTTTGAGGCTCGGGATTCTGATGTTTTCCTTGTTACAACTCCGAAATCAGGGACAACTTGGTTGAAGGCACTCATGTTCACCTTAATGAATCGAATGCAGTATCCCATTAATCAAGAACACCCTTTACTCAGCAAAAATTCACACGATCTTGTGCCATTCTTGGAACTTAAACTCTATGTTGATAATCAAATCCCTGATCTTTCCTCCCTTAACTCTCCCAGGCTGTTTGCAACCCATATACCTTTTTTTTCCCTTCCAAAATCTGTGCATGATTCTTCATGCAAGTTTGTTTATCTGTGCAGGAACCCGAAGGACATCTTCGTGTCCCTTTGGCACTTCACTAACAAGTTAAGGCTTCAAGAAATGGGAAGTAATTCACTTGGAGAGACCTTTGATATGTTCTGTAGAGGAGTGACTATTTATGGACCCTTTTGGGACCATGTGTTAGATTATTGGAAAGAAAGCATGGAGAAGCCTTATAAGGTACTATTGAACCACTTTGGAAGGCAATTTTAATTGTTTATATTGGTTTCAACTGACGTGCATTTTTCGGATGAATTTAACTTTTATCATCAAAGGCCTCATCCGTGCACAAGATTTTAAATTCATAATTTGATACTACGTTCAACCACTATCCAAAATTTATAATATTAGTGCTAGAAGTTGGGTGTGGCCCGAATTCTCTTTGAAATGCTATTAGGGAATCATATTCGGAGTCTATTTGGCAATTTTAGTTGAAATTTAATTTAGATTTTCAATTGAGAGTTTGAAATTTGTGTTGAACTTGAAGAGGTAAAGATATAGACTAGGGAGGAATTTTCGGCGCATTCCAGCTCATTGAGCGCTTGTCTCCTGCTCGAGCACTCAGGAGTGCTAGCACTCGCTTAATGGCAACTTGCCGCTCAAGCGGGCAGTGAGTGGCAGAGTCACTGCCAGCTTGGCACCCACCCAGCACTCGAGAGGCGGTTCGTCACTCTAAGGCCCATTTTTCGTTTTTAATGTGTTTTTAGGATTCTTTTTCATCTATAACTCTATTTCTAGGGTTTGAAACATTTTCATAAATATATATATAGTTAGCTCTTTGTTGTGATTTAGACAAATTAGATATTATTGTAAACACAATATCTTTATATGCTTTCTCAATATTTTAGTGAATTCTTCCCTCCTTTGCCAATTATCTATTGTTCTTGTATGATTTACTTCATATTGTGCCATATATTTGTCCTCATATCACAACAAACTGGTATCAGACATCGGGGGCGATCCAGCCACCCTACATTCGAGCTTGATCCATTAGGTATTTTGGTATCTGCTTTATTCCCAACAAATTTGTATCAGAGCAACGTTCGATCATGTCAAAAGCTCAACTTATTTTTTGTGACGACAACCATGAAGTATGGTATTCTACTTTTGGATTGTAGCACAAGATTTTCATTGTGACGGGTATACATATGAGCAGTACTCGCTCAAGTGGATTTGAATGATAGGTTGTTTGGATTTAACAAGATGTTCACAACTTGGACGCTGAAGGAGAATAACGTAGGCATCGAAAGGCCCTATTACAGATTTGTCTTCATCTTTCGAATAATATTCTTTAGGATATTTAGAAGGAGAAGACCGCTACTGTATCATGGTTGAAATTAGAGTAATTATGCATGACGAAAAGTCTAACTAACATATTGCATTTGAAGCAGTGTCTATAATCGCATTTAGATGTGTCAATCTGGGTGGTCCGGGTCGGGTTGGCCCACCAACATATGAGCCCGATAATGGCCCGCATGAAAAAAGGTCCGCCCGCCACTGGTTCCGGGTCGATCCACAAATTTTGGACTACAACCCAGGCCCGCCAGCTAACCCATCCAGATCGAGCCCATGCGGGTCACGGGTAAAAAAATATTTTTTTTGTTAAATGTAAACTAAGAATTGAACAAAATGATAAATTCATATTTATACCAAGAAATGTTTACATAGAATTCAAATTTAATGTTACATGAATTATTTATAACTTTACAAAGTTAAATTTAACTTAAACAAATAACAACTAAATGTATTTTTAATTACTATTATCAAATATTTATAGTATAAGTACATCCCAACTAGGTTGGTACCTCCCCATTTTTTTCAAATTTTTAAAACTTTTTTTTCACGGGCTAGCGAGTTAACCGCGGCTCGTGAAGGTGCAATCCGCGAAACCCGCGGGTCACACCTCCTTGATCCGTGAACCTACCCGCTCGGGTCACGGGTCGGCCCGCGGTCCCGGGTAGATCCGGGCCGGTTTTCACGGGTCGGCCGACCCGTCCATCTTGACACTTCTAATCGCATCGTACCTTGGAGGTTAAATATGACAAAAGGTACATCCCTTGAAGATTACCTACATGTTTTTAAGAAAATCATCTTTGATTTAGAAACTTTGGAGGTTAAATATGATGAAGAGGATTTGAGTTTGATTTTGTTATGCTCGTTGCCTATTTCATATATGTCTTTTAGAGATATAATCATGACACTCTTACTATTGAAGAAGTCTATGATACTCTATTTTTAAAGAAGAAGATGAAGCATCTTATTGGATTTAAGGCTCATGGAGATGTCATTATTGTTGATGGTGGTTATGCGAGGGGCAAATTAATGTCTAACTTCAATAATAAAATTTGTAATTATTGTAAGAAGAAGTGGCACATGATAAAGGATTGTTATAAGTTGCAAAATAAAGAAAAATTGACTGCAGCTAATCAGAAGGGAAAGCATGATATTTCAAGTGAAACCAGTATTGCAGAAAATTTTCACGATGATGGAAAACTTTTGATTATTTTTGACGACTGCTCCAAAACTTGAAGAAGATTGAATTCTTGTTACAACTTGCACTTTTATATGTGTTCTAATTGGATTTGTTTTCTACATATGAAACAGTTTTGAAAGGTGTTATGGTAATGGATAATAATATACCTTGTAGGACAACTAGTATGGAATGGATCAGAATTAAGATGTTTGATGGATTGTCGATGAGACATGTTCCAGATTTGAAGAAAAATGTTATCTCCTTGAGTACTCTTAACTTGAAAGGGTATAACCCATTTATATATCTTGCATGGATCTATATAGATAATCTTTAAAGATCACTCATCAAAATTTAGTCACTCGGGTAGATTTTGAGTTTGGTTTAGTTTAGGGTCTACATTGAAGAATACATTTTAGTCAAATTCTTAAGTTATGGATAATTTCACTTTACCACCATTATTAGTGGTGCTATCGTATTCAATTGCTAGATATAGACTTAGGAGAAATATTAGGCTTCCACATAGGTATGAGGATGTTGATTTAGTTCTTTTTTTTTTTTAAATGTTGTTGAATGTATTCATTCTAACCAATAACCGTCTATTGAAGTAGTTAGTTGTGATGATTCTGTACACGTCTTGTTTATGCCTTATTTGGTGATTATTAAATTATTTTTCATTTTTTGTTGCTCATAAGGATAATTCGAGCAACTTTAATGTCCAAGGTAATCTCGTTGAGTAATGCTTGGAATTAAGTTGATATGCAGTTATTGAATTTGTCCTAGTTGGGTTTTCTAGTAGAGGTGGAGAATTTCTTTAGTTGGAAATTTTGATGGCAAATTTTGTTTGGTGTTTTTGTTGAATAGTTAAATCTATTTCTTGAAGTGGAGTTTGTCTTTAGGTGGAAATTTTTTGAAATTTTGTTCATTGTAGTAAAATTCGTGTCAAGATAGAGTTTGTTAGAATTAGGTTGTAACGACAGAATTGTACTTGAAATGTTATTTTGGAATCCCATTCGAAGTCTACTTGGAAATTCTAGTTGAAATTCATTTTAGGAGTTCAATTGGGAGTTCTAAATTTGTATTGGACTTGAAGTGATTAAGATATGGAAAAGGGAGGAATTTTCGACACATTTTCACTTGATGAGCTCCCGTCTCCTGCTCGAGCACTCAAAATAGGAGTGCTAGAGCTCGCTTGGCACCACCCTGCTGCTCGAGTAGTGGAGTCAGGGACGGACCCAATATTGAAGTTCAGCCCTGACGAACGTTGACTGGTCAATATCGACAATCAGCAATCGTAAGAGTGAGGTCAGCAATTAGCGATCGAAAAATGGGCCGAAATCCAAATCACAACTCAATCAACCTAACCCCTAACTTCTCATTTCAAATTTATTATAAATGATAATAATACAACTAATTTCTCATTTCAAATCAATGCACAAAACAACAAATTTACTGATTGTAATTTGCAGAAAAACCAAGTATACATAAACCTAATTACCTATCACTTATCAGGCATCAACAAAGAAATCAGACAAACATGAAATTTTTGTATTTCATTGCAGTGCAATTTCATGATTTAACATCGAATATGACGGACCAAAATAATTAATTAACACTTAAAAAAAATGACAGCCTACTCATACAAGAACAACTTACGGTTTCACTTTCACCAAATCTCGCGACGGACGGGACGACGGGATGGTAGCAACCTGACGGCAGGCTGGTCGGATTGGTGATGGTGGCAGGCGGCAGCGACGAGCGACTGGGCGAGACTCGAGAGATTGGAAATTGGTGAAGATAAATCGTCAAGAATTTAGGGATGGATTTCGAATGAAGGCGAAGGGAGAATGGGATTTGTCATTGGGCCTATATATTATATACTTAAGGATTGGGCCCAAAACAAATGGTCCAATCCAATTTTTAAAAAAAAAAAAAAAACAAACAAACAATGAGGGGCTGGGCCGAATTGGCCCAAATTCCAAAAAAAAAAAAAAAAAGATTATGGGCTGGGCAAACATAATATCTTTATATGATTTCTCTATATTTTAGTGATTCTCATTTCCTCTACCAATTAACTTTAGTTGTTGTGCATTTGTGATATTTATTTCATATTGTGCCATATATTTGTCGTCATATCATAACAAACTGGTATCAGAGTAATCTGGTATCCGCTTTAGTCCAGCAATTAGACAAATTATTCATTTCTATATTATTTTCAACAGGTATTCTTCTTAAAGTACGAGGACATGAAAGAATGCCCAACAGATAATCTTAGATGCATTGCTGAGTTCTTGGGGTGTCCATTTTCCAAAGAAGAAGAAGAATCTGGAATGGTGGAACAAATCTTAAAGCTATGTAGCTTCGATACTTTGAGCAACCTGGAAATCAACAGGACTGGGAAGCTGTCATCTGGTGAGGAAAACAAGGCATTCTTCCGTCGGGGCGAGGTTGGAGATTGGAAGAATCATCTTCCTACTGAGATGGTAGAGAAACTAGATCATGTTACCGAACAAAAGTTCAGTGGATCAGGATTAGAATTTTGAGCCTTCATTGGGTATATAGTATCACTCAGCCATAAATTCTGCGGTGTTTGCAGGCGATTTTTTCAAAAGAAATGCTGATCCGTGTGTTTGAATCAAATATTAAAGTTGTCTTGAATTTGTGTCAGTGTTGTTTGAAATATTAATTACATCTTTATTTTGATATGGTAACAAACTACATATTAAACTCTATTCTTAGTAAATTTAGAGCGTGAATTTCTTTGTTAGATTCATTGAATCACATTGCATAAAACTATTGTGTTGTGTACATAAAACTAATTTAAACTCTCAAATATGGTCACGAATTAGAACAAAGTTATGAAATCGTGCAGCAGTTTTATTGTTTGTAAACAAATTACTAGGTCAGTTTGAGAAAAAAATTAATCTTGAATTTGGTTATAAATAGATATTGCTATGTTACACATTCCCTTATGTGCAGGACGCAAATTAAATTATTTATAAACTAGGTTGGTGGGAGTCACGGGAAGACTAAAGAGGTTTCAATTCTTGGTGCACCAGAGTACATAGGGAAAGGTGGTTTTATGACATTATTCGAGAAGGTTGATCCTAAGATTCGTCAAATCGAGACAATGCACAGAAATCCAGTCAATCAATTTATTGACAGAGATTTCGAAAATATGGATAATTTTGGATATAATCAATGTGGAGGCCACCTTCCTATCAAAGCACTAGGAAATATGCCGACGATGCTTTTGAATACATTCATGATACGATCATAAAGCTATGATTTTTTTTTTTATTATTTTTTATTTTTTGGAATTTCGGGTGCAATAGTATTTTATGAGATCTACTTTAAATAACAGGTCCCAAAGAGATCCTACACTACACGTACAGTAATAAGGAATATTACTAGGGTAAATGAAGTGTAGTTTCACCTTATATATATTGTGTACTACTCGTCTCTATATGGGTTAAGCTTATTATATTGCACCTTTAGTTGGAGTTCAGTTCTCCACCTCCTAAGTCTGTAATATGTTTTACTTTTGTTATTAATTAATTCACACACCTGAAATCTTTGCATTATTTTGGTGGCTCCACTTGAGAATTTTCGAATTGAACCTATCTTAGGTTTTTAAATCTTAAAATTCGTGGTTTATTCCTGAAATTAATATCCTTAAATTAAGATAAAGATAAACAAAACATAGATGTTGGATAGAGCTGTTGTAGGCATTTTAGGGATTAAAATTTTACTTGTTTCAACAGAGTAATTTAAAAGCATAAGTAAGAATCTGAGGAGACGGAGAAGAAAAGAAAGAAGATACTCTTTGAATTTTTCTGTTGAAGGTGTAAGGCACTATGTGTGATGACTAGACAATCTTCTTCATAATACTTTCCTTTTGGTCTATGTTGGTTTGAGTATTCTGCGATGCTATGTTCCTGCACATAGCAGTCAAATCAAACATTAAAAATCAAATAACCTAGAAACATGTGTTACTTAGTGCAAATACTCGAAATAACCAACAACAAATTCAATGGTCTAAGGGAAAACATGATAGGATGGTGATACCCTATTAATACAAATTAATAATCAAAATAAATATATATGCAATGTGCTACTGAATGCGGAATAAATAAAAGGGTTAGAAAATTGGATTGCCTCCCAATAAGCGTTTAATTTATAGTCTTTAGATAGAATATATGGATAAATTGATCATGGTGGTTCATGCTAGAATCTTGCAACCTTACACTCCTTGCAATCTCCAGCCTTGCATCCTCTTTTTTCCCTCCAAACCTTGAACTCTTCATTCTCATCGTGTCCAAGACTTCCTAAATTTTTAGGCTTTGTCTTATTTGAGCTTTGTTGCGCCTTTTGAGCAATATAATTGCACTCTTCTTTAGCCTTTTTTCTAATATCTTCATGTAATGGGTTCTCGATAGTAGTGTGGATCTTGAATTTCTCTTGCTTATCATCAACTTTCATTGTTAGTTCACCACTTTCAAAGTCCATGATAGCTTGACTTGTTGATAGGAAAGATCTACCCAAGATAAGTAATGTTGCATCACATGGCTCCTATATATCTAGAAAAACGAAATCAATCGAGGAATATGAATTTGTCCACTTTAATGAGCACATTCTCAACCACTACTCGAGGGTATTTGATTGATATGTCCGTCAATTGAATGGAGATGGATGTGTCCTTCAACTCTCCCAAACCTAAGTTCTTGTAGACACAAAAAGGCATTAGATTTATATTTGCTCTTGAGTTACATAAACAATTAAAATTCAAACCACTTCCTATTTAGCAAGGTATTTTGAGACTCCCTGAATCTTTTAGTTTAAGATGTAATGTGTTCTGCAAGATGGCATTACACTCCTCATTTAACTTGATGGACTCAAAATCTGTAATCTTTCTCTTTTTGGATATGATCTCCTTCAGAAACTTTAGATAGTTGGGTATTTGAGATATAGCTTCAATCAGTGGGATGTTGACATGAAACTTCCTGAAGATGTCCAAGAACTTTGCAAACTGTTCTTCTAGCTTCCTCTTTTGCAATCTCTATGGAAAGGGTATTTGTGGAGCATATTCTCTGGTAGGAGTGGTTATCTTAACCTTTGGATTTTCTGATACTTTTTCTTTCTCTGATTCTATATTCTACTTAGAATTGCTCCTCGATTATGGAAAGCACCTTATTATTCACTACCACCTGTCTCTTAACTGTGATTTCCAGAAGTTGAACTGCGTTGCGTGTAGTGATTGCTTCAATCTCCTCATTCTCTACAACTTTTACTGCCATTACCTGTTGTTTGGGATTTATTTCAGTGTCGCTTGGCAGTGATCCTGACTGTCTTTCTGAAAGTGCCTTAGCTATTTGTCTCATCTGATTTTCCAAATTGTTGATGACAGTTTTCTGAACTTGCAAGCTCTTATCCATTCTTTGCATGTGTTGATTAGATATTTTTGCCAATTTAGTAACAAGATCTTCTAATGAAGATTTATTTTTAATCTGCTGAAAACCTGACGGTGCAGTCTGCTGTGGTGCGGTCTGAGCTCCCTAATTGTTACTCCATGAGAAGTTGTGATGATTTTTCCAACCAAGATTGTATGTATTGGAATATGGATTATTTTGCTACCACTAAAAGTTTTGTATGTAGTTAACATCTTCCACTGATTGGACAAACGGACTACCCACATTGCAATCTACGCTCTCATGGTTCCCTCCACAATGCTTGCATCTCGGTTTGGCTGTTTGAATTGCACTCACCTATTCTACTTTTTGAGCTAAAGTTGACAATTGCGCTGAGATTGATGTCAACGGATCCATCTATCCAGTTACTTTTTGTACACATGTTCTTTCTGTTGGCCACAGTGCACTAGTGAATGTCGAATCCTTCAAGATCTGATAGACTTGATCCGTTATCCTCTTTATATTAGATCCATTGCATGTGGAGTCACCATTAGCCCTACATACCAGATTTAGGCCAATGTAGAAATATTGAACTTGGAGCCATTTTTGCAGCCCATGCTGTAGACATTGATGGAGTAACCCTTGTACATTTTCCAAGCCTCATAGTATCACTCCGAGTCGAGCTGAGAGAATGTAGTGATTTCATCCCTCAACCTGATAATCAGTTTAGGTGGAAAATATTTGTTCATGAATTTCTGACACAAACTGTTCCAGTTGGTGATGTTGTGAGGAAGAAAAGTATCCAACCATTTCCTAGCTGAATCTCTCAAAGTGTAAGGAAAAAGCCTCAACCGGATTACTTTACTTGAAACCCCTAGATATTCTATTGTTGCACACATGTCTAGAAATCTTGAGATATGAGTATTAGGATTTACAGTAGCCCTCTTAAAGAATTGTAGTACATTCTAAAACATATTTATCACATAAGTCCTCAATTGAAAATTTACATGAGCAAATGTCGGATACACGATACTGGATTGGCTTTTCACGACCAGTGGAACCATATAGTCTCCCTTCAACCTAGCATTCTCATTCCCTACAGCCACAATTGGATGTATTGCTTCTTCATTAGCCCCCGATGGCAATTTGATTTTTTTCTGCCATGAGCTTTGCTTGCTGCTTTTGGTGTGCTTCTAATTGTTATCTTCTTCTCGACCTGAATTTTTATTCAATTTTTGGATCAAATTGAGCAAGATCACCGTGTCTCGAATTTCGCATACAAAGTCCTGAAAATGAAAAAAAATAGAAAACACTGTAATATTTTTCTACTAAACGAAACTAAATAATTAAGAAATTAAAATTAAAATTAAAGCTAAAATTAATTAAAACTAATTAAATACAATAGTCACCGGTAACGGTGCCAAAAATTTGATCGTTTGATTTTTCGCAAGTGAACGAAATTGTGAACAAGTAATATAATATTGTGTAGAGTGTCGAACCTAAAAGAATTAAATATTCAATCAAGTTCAAATTAATAACCTTAATCGAATAGCAAATAGGCTTTAAGTTTTATATGCTAATATCTAAATTATCGATTAAACTAGAAAGCAATTTAACTAGTTTGATTTCAAATATGTGAAAGTATTGCTAAGATATCAAATCCCCTTTGTTAATCCATTTTTAGCACAATGAATTAAAGTGACAATTTGTAATCATTCTTGTTGGTCAGTGTTCCTAATTTAATTGAAAACGTCTCTTGATAGTTATCAAATTTATTTTCCTCGTGTGACATTCATATCCCCAACGAATTAAAGTGACAATTTCTGATTAATCTTGTTATTTGTAATCATTCTTGTTGGTCAGTGTTCCTAATTTAATTGAAAATCTCTCTCGATAGTTATCAAATATATTCCCCTCATGGGACCCTCCTATCTCTTGATGAAAGATACAAATATGATAAATACATTTAATGATCTAGAATACCTATTAAAACCACGTAAAACATAGATGTATATATCTATCCCCTATCGGATTTTACAATATTTATTATTTTTTAGCTAAAAACCTAACATCTCTCTCAATAATAATAGATTCTTATAAATCATCTCAATTAGTAGTTAATTAATTGAAAAGTCAGTGAAAACAATAATAATAAACATTCAAGAAAATAAACATACTAGTCGTCAAGATAATTAATTAATATTAAAAATTTTAAAACAAGAGTTCATCTCATCTTAATAATGTACAAAACTAGCCTAACATATCAAAATTACAAGAAATCATATTAAGTGAAAAGACATAACTCGATTTTTTTTATAAATTGTCAAGATGAATCTGGAAATCTTGAATTTCTTTAATGGTTTCTTGATGAATCTCCACTTGCACCTTCTCTTCTTTTCCCAAAAATGTTTGAATCTTCAATGGATTGAATTCTTGCAAATCTCGTTCAATTCTCTCACAAAAATTATAACTTTTCCTTATTTGATGATGATAATAGATGAGTATTGAAGTATGAGATGTATTTGAGAGGTATCCAATATATACTCTGTTGTTATGTATTTGTAGGAGTACAAAATTGGTTGA